GATGACCGAAAGCATGAGTTTGCTTTGGCCATTCGAAAACTCTTATCCCAACTAAAGCAAGTTTTATTAACGACTTTAAGGTTCATAGTATTAGGACTACGTTACGCCGAACAACTGAAGACTGATCTTCTCAGAGTATCGTAGGGTCTTTTATTATCTAACATGTAGGTGGCCAGTGATCTGGATTGAATTGTGCTCGTGTAAATTCGGGCCCATTTGTAATAAACGAGAAGAGGTCAACTGATTCATTGTCATCATAGTCACAGAGACCAATAAAGGGAAGCTCAGCTGTCCATTCTTCAGCGTCAGGGACGGCCAGGAAAATCAATATTTACTCCCAAGAATTGTATGCTTGATTTCTATTTCCCGGCCGTTCCAGAGACTGACATTTGGACATCCTGTTGTAGTTCCTCTTGTGTGAGGTGTTTTGTTGAAGAATATTCAGATGTCATGGTAGTGTTGTACAAGGTGACAACAGGGTGAAGTCAGTGACAGGCAAGGAAGCTGCTTTCTACTTGTTTTAATTTCTGGTATGGCTGATTTTCCGCGACAAGTTTGGCGCAATATTGGAGGCAGGCACGGATTGTTGCGAGTCAGCCGGCTGGTCGGAGTCGTTCTGTCAACAAGGACGAAAGGTCGGGGATCTATGGCCGCTGGCGTGAGGTGCCGGCGATTTACTTGTAGGTAGCTCCACTCGGCTGGTTTCGAAAATGACTGTCGAAGGTCGTTCTGCTTCTGCCGGGTGCTGTTCCAGAACCCCAAATTTTCCTTTTTCGGGATTGTTCCTGCCTGCAGAGCTTATGTTGAGCTTCAACCAATCAGACGAATCTCGTTCTCACCGACAAAGTTGCAATGTCGAGATTCAGCAGAAAGAAAAGGAAAAATCCCTTTCATATGAGAGACTTCGTTTTGGTGTCACATCCGTTGTTTATGTGTTTGGCGATCCTTCTTGGGGTGGCGCTATCAATCTCTTTTGTCTTGGTTGCGACTCACCCTGATGTGCATGTTGCGGCGAAAATATCTGTTGAAGATGCCGGCATGAATGGAAGAGGGAACAGACAGCCGGATACGAATAGTGAAGGAACTGAATCTTTGATCGGTCCCGAAGTGCCATACCTTCCACCCTTTGCAGAAATTGAAAATTCTGAACAACTGATTGAAGATACACTCAACGGGAAACCAACGGTTGCTGGCATTGTAGCCCACTTGAACAAATTTCTTAAGGAGTTACACAAGTCAAATATAAAGAACTCAAAAGAAAAGTTGCAACCAAACGGCTTAGTGCAGACATACTTTGACCTGGCGATGCGGTATCTGAGGCCGCTGGATGAGCCGTATCGGGGAAGGCCTATTTTCGAGATCCGCGAAGATGACAGCATATTCGTCAGCTTAGCGGCCTTTCGTGAGCATTTACTCACCCAAACATTGAAATCTGCGTTCGATCAAGCAGAGAACCCTGAAAATTTGTTCATTGGTGCGGCGGTCCAGAATTGCTTTGGTACGGATGGCCGTCAGTGCAAGACTGGATTACAAGTCATTGGCAAGAACGCACAAGGCAAAGATCAAGTAAAGATGAGTGATGCTCCGCCCGACGTCAACGGCATTGAAGACTTCTGCAGGGATCCAAAATATGAGAAACATTGCAAGAGCGGGCACATCCGCGTCCTGTACCTGCATGACACGGATGCTTTGGGACCCGCTGTTGCCCGCTATTACGCTAGTAAGTTGTGGGGAGGAGAAACGTATTTCCTTCAAATGGACAGTCACCTTGGTAAGTTATTGCGATTGATGGAATGATTTCAGGATGAGCCGACTGTTTCAACTCATACAGATGCATTTTACCCACAGAGTTTGCAGCGAATTGGGATACTAAATACATTGCTGAGATCAAAGCAGCAAAATCCTTTCCGAAAGCCATACTCTCGAGCTACCCTCCCGGATTTACGAACTTTGGTGAATACTCCGGAGGCTCTCCTGGAACTAGACTTTGCACTTGTCAATTTTCCAACAATGATGTCGAGAACCATATCATTCGAATCAACACAGGTGGCAGATGCAAAGGCGATGAACCTCGCCCAACGCAAATTGCTTTTATTGCTGCTGGATTTTTCTTTGCTCGAGCCGAATTCTTGATTGATGTTCCATTCGATCCTTACGTTCCATGGTAAGTGTAAATACACGACACGACTGAATGATTTAACTTGTCCGTCCCGACACTCAGGGTACCTGGTTCAATCTTTAGGTGCTTTATGGGGGAAGAAATCGCACTCAGCATACGTGCATGGACCAATGGATGGGATATATATGCGCCTCGACAAAATCTTATTGCGCATCAATATAGACCTGGTGTAAGTTGAACTCCTTTTGCGATTACGGTGCAATCAATCTAGTATTTTGTTTGCTGATTCTGTACTCGTTCATTTTAACAGCGGCTGGGTTTGCCAAAGTTTTGGGAATCGGTTGGTAGAGACTCTGGAAGACCAGGACTCAACACCAAGGTTCAGAAGCATGTTCTTCGGAGAATTAAACATATGGTTGGATACACCACAGACACGAAAGATTCAATTGAGGCGGAGGGGGATGGTGCTGTACTTACTGATTTGGAGCATTACACTGTTGGTAACACCCGGTCGCTAAAGGATTATCTGGAGCTCACAAATATTGATCTAGAGAATATGAAATGTGGTTACATGATGTGGTGTACTAGGGGCACTTTAGAATAAAGAATCTAACAGTTCCGCCCTTAAGGAATTGAATGCTAGAATGGGCTATTGTCATTAGTCAGAGAGTGTGGTCTTGTCTACCTAAACGAGTGCAGCACGAATTTAATGAGACAGATTCTGCCAAGTCGTGTTGGAGGCAAGATGTATCCCAAATTGCACACATCCATATAGAGATCATATCCATTCAAGATTCAAAGCAATCTCTCGAGGGACTGCACGGAATGGCGGAACATTTATCGTTACACAGTATTCTGCTTACAGTGTTCGTCGAAAAGAATGAATCGACCAACGTACTCTGGAAGCGGTATGCCAGGCTGATAAACTGAGCCACGATGAAAGGGCAACAACTTTACCGCCAAGAACTTCAATTCTCATACCGCAGAAGCGGTCAAAGTTCAAAGGGCAGGGAACAGAGTGATCCATCTTTGAGGGAAGCACCCTCTAGATTTCGCCTCCACGGTGCTTCAAGCGCTAGCAGTTCCTCTGGTTCATTCCAATTTCTGGAAACCTTGATTACTCCATCCCATTCTTTGCCCCTATCTACAGGGTTAGTGTTAAGCAGCCCATCGACAATCAACTTCCATGATGTCGGCAGCTTTGTCGTAACATCTTTGGCAACTTTCGATTTCCCATTCGTGTAATCTATCACCGATTCCACCACCAGGGCTTCCGATGCAGCTCGGAATGGAGACTCACCAACAAACATTGCGAAGAAAACACATCCAACAGACCAAAAATCAATTGCAATGGACAACCTGCATGATGTCAAAACTTCAGGGCTCGAATATTCCGAAGTTCCAACCGCAATTTGCGTCGCCCTCTGCGCGTCGCAGGTGAAAGAACTCCCAAAGTCAGCCAGCCTTAGTTTACCGCGTCCATCGTGAAGTATATTCTGCGGCTTCACGTCTCCGTGAACGATATTTTCGGTATGAACGTAACTTATGGCGTCCACGATTTGGCGGCAATAGTATGAAATGGATTGATACCACAATATTCTGTTTGATGACAGACCAAAACGCAACAGCATATGTAGATCACCCCCAAACGCCAAATCCTGCACCATATAGACAAAGTCAGAGTCACTAAAGAATGCTAGTAGATTGATCACACAAGGAGATCGACATCTTCTGAGACTATCTTGTTCTGTCCAAACCATATTCACCATTTCTGGACGACGTTTCAAAGTGAACTGATCAATTACTTTTATAGCCACTTCGACGCCACTCTTCTTGTGCTTTGCATATATCACATTTGAAAAGGTTCCTTGGCCAATTGTTGGTCCAAATAAAAAATCGTTCCTTGAAGGGCCCATGAATATGAATATGTTGAATTTATGTTTGCGCTCTGGAACACGCGAGGACTTGGTGTTTTTGGCGTGTTTTGCGCGCGTTGAATATTTATTAGAAATCGAACTTTCAGAAATAGTTTTTTGCAGTCGTCTGAAAAGATAAAAGACCGAATGCTGATGAGGAGTAAAAACCCGGATGTGCGTCATTAATTTGACAACGCAAATCTGATTTGCGTGCTTAAACCCGGATTTGCGTGCTTGAACCCGGATGTGCTTGCTTGAACCCGGATGTGCGTGCTTGAACCCGGACGTGCGTACTTGAACCCGGACGTGCGTCTAAGTATGTGCAGCGAGGTGATAAGAGCGAACTTCCATGCGCAAGCCTTGCCAGAAAAATCGCTGAAAATCCATTTGTGTCTGCTGGTGTAGGACGGACTGATCAGAACGCCCAAGTACGTATGCAAAGAAGGTACAGTAGCAGGACAGTGGAAAGCTACGTACCAAAGAGGTTGTGAAAGAAGTTGGTGAATGAGCTGCAGCTCAGTTGCAGCTCATTCCTTTTGAAAAGACTGCTCTGTATTTGACAGAGTGAATTTGAAGTCTAGGAATAGATAGTTATTAAGGTTAAGAGTCGTTCATGCCGTTTCATAATTGGTGGCTAGATATTGTCCTAGCCCACGCAGGCTTCCGGGTTCGGATCGGGGCGTGACTCAAGTCTTAAACTCATTGAGTAGGTACTCAATGCGTTTTCAAACTTGAAGTCTCCACAAGATGTAAAGTCCTGCGTCCTTTTCTTTCCCCTGGGCGGGTGGGTGGGAGTTAAAAATTTTCTACCTATTGCTGGAGTCTGGATGTATTTTGCTCAAGTTCCAAGTTGGACTGATTTGTGTGCCTTTGGTGGAGCTCAAGCCACTCAATTCGGTCATTTTCGCTGGCACATCCAGTCTCGTAGCTTCTTACGTGCGGCGGTCCTCGCATGCCTCGGGCCGCCGGAATAAGGAATTCTTCTTCTTCATTTCTTTCAAAACCTTTCTATACGGTCGGTTGGGTAGAGT